CCCCTATTAACGCACTAATCTTGACTTCCAAAAATGGTGTAAGATTAAAGCTTTAAGCTGATAAATGTTTGGGTCCCTTGTTACTCAGCGGTAGGTGTAACCGCTGCACTGCTACAATTCTGTACTCCCGCTTCCGCTGTTGTGATGGTTGGAGTTTATTATTTACAGGGGGTGGGGGGTGGGGTGGGGACAGGATGCAGTTGTGTGTGGTGACTTTGCTCATTTGGTAAGTGACAGAGCTGAGATATGCCCCCAAAGCACAGAGGGCACTGTGTTTTCTTATAGCCAGTAAAAAGGCTGAGAAAGGGTTAAAATCCCACCCAAACCACTACTACCACCAACAAAAAACCCTACTCTGTTTGATGTGTTTTTCTCTCCTCTTCCTTTTCCATCCCACTTACTGTGTATGTGGTGATTTCAAAAACACACATGGGGATTTGAAAATGGGGTACTTGTGCTCTTAAGTAACCTGAGACAAATCTCTACATTTCTTTTCTGTAAAAACTATTTGTTTTATTTTTATTTGTGTGTGTGTATGTGTGTGTGAGTGCCCAAGGAGGCCACAAGAGAGTGTTAGATTCCCTCGATCTGTACTTACAGGCAGCTTTGAGATACACACTGTGTGTGCTGGGCACAGAAGTTGGGTCCTCTGCAAAGTAGCAAGCATTCTTAACAGCTGATCGTCTTCAGCTCCTGGTTTGTTGTTCTTCCTTCTTCTTTCTTTCTTTCTTTCTTTCTTTCTTTCTTTCTTTCTTTCTTTCTTTCTTTCTTTCTATCGTGTGTGTGTGTGTGTGTGTGTGTGTGTGTGTGTGTGTGTGTGTCTGGTCTGTGTTGTTTGCTTGCTTGCTTGCATACTTAAAGACAGGGTCTCATGTAGGCTCAGGCTGGCCTCAGACTCTCTGTAGCAGGGAACGATCTTGAACTTCTGATCCTCCCGCCTTCACCTTCTAAGTGTGGGGATAAACACATGTGTGTCACTGTGCTCCATTTGACTCTGCCCTCCTTGGGCCTCAGTCACTTCATCTAGTCCACAGGAAGAACGACCCACATCTGCCTTCCTTTCTATATAACATCGCAGAGTCGTGGACAGGGAAGGTTTATATTGAGGAAGAAGCCCAGCCTGGGGCTAGGGGCCCAGCTCCCTTCACACCTCTACCTGTATCCAGGCTCAGGAGACAGTGAGCATGAGAGGCCGAGGGCCCTGACCCACTTCCTCAGCCTCTGCCCCTCACCTTGCCCTTTTAGGTCATGCGGAACAGTTCAGAGTGGAAATTTCCTCAGTCTGTCAGGAGGTTTCTGCCCGCCTTCCCCTTATCTCTGCAGCTTCTTCCGCCCGGCACCCTTCCTGGCTCTACCCAGTTGCTGCTCATCTTTCAAAACCCAGGCTGGCTGTCCCACTTCCAGGGCGCCGCTCCTGACGTGGCAAGCGGCTTGAGACCTTCTCCTGGCTACCTCTCTAGCCTCTTGCCTAAGCCCTGGACCTTCACCGTCTCCCTCCTACCCTAAGGCCCTATGGTGCAGCCGTGGCCCTTTTAAAATACACATTTTGTTATTCTCTGCCTAAAATAACCAGTCAATGGAATAATCCATCAATCAATGTTTCAAGGTCTCCTCCTTGCCCTCCAGGGAGGTGTCCAAAGCCTTCCGATTGTCCTGCACCCACGGTGCCCTCGGGACTCTCCTGAGAGCAGAGGGTGGCTGTGTCCCCAGAGGCCTGTGGGGCGTGTTGGGTGGGTGGGTGGGGGACTGAGTGAGTGAATGGGGTTGAGCCCATGCTTGACTCATCACATACCTCTGCTTGGCCCAGAACTGTCTTTCCCCACAGTAGACCCATTTTATAGCCAAAATGGAGGCAGAAGGGAAGGGCAGCTCTGGAGGGAGAAGAAAAATCAATAAAAATGTAAATCTGGAGGCGAAAAGCTGTCCCAAGCTGGCTGTGGGGAGAGATAAGACTGGGCCAGCTGAACCCTCAGTGACAGCAGGGAAGAGATTAGAGCGCAAGGGAGCTGCAGCCAGGGCAGAGCATGGCGGGAGCCTTGTCCATCCCCTCTGCCCTCCCGCTCTCTGCTCCAGGTGCTCAGACAGGAGAGGGGACATAAGCTAGAAACCATCAGGGACTGAGCCTGTGAGCGCAGGCTGGTGTCTTACCTGTTCCCCCGACCGTGGGAGATGAGGCACACTGACCTCCCTCCCAGGGAAGGGGCTGGGTGCAGAGGACTGGGGCCAGTTGTTCAGGGCCATACTGTGAGTACACAGCGGGGACCCCGGGTCTCAGTGTGAGTCTGATGTCCCTGCAGCTCCAATATGAAGGGCTTTGACCTTCCTACGACTGTACTGCGCTTTAGAGGGCCCTCCACCCCCAAATCACACACACACACACACACACACAATGGCGAGTCTTTGTATGTGTGTGGGGAGAGGAGTGGTGGCAAATTTTATCTATTTTGGATCTTGAGACAAGGTTTCGCTATGTAGCCCAAGCTGCCCTGAAGCTCACCATCCTCTTGCCTCTGTCTCCTGAGTGCCAGGATTACAGGCCTGCACCCCACCTCCGGCTTGGCTTATAACTTTATCTTTTAAGAATGGCGTCTATGTCTTTAATGAAGCTACTTCCCCAACTCGCCCCTTCATTGCCATGTAGCTTTTGAAGTGGGCCTTGATGGGGGATAGGACAATGAAGAGGGGTGGAGAGCCAGGCCAAAGAGGGTGGCCACGCATATCGAGGGGGAGTGTTAACACGTGTAGGTAACGAACGGGGGTGTGCAGTGTGCTGACTACGGCTCCTGGAGCCAGGTGCCAAGGGGCATCCGCTGGCCCCAGAGCTTTCCAGCCTCTTCGAGCAAAAGGAGCGGAAGGCCGGGCACTGAGATGCTATTTCTGGTGCCCGTCCCATCTGCCGCTGCTCTTCACCAGCGCTGAAGCAGGTCGAGCTTGGGGCAGCGTAGAGGCAGTGGCTGGCAGACGCAGATGCGCACGGCTTTCAGTGACAGGACGACCAGTGTGCGTTGATGTGTTTGTTGGAGTTTTGTGTGCGTGAGTTTGTGCGTGCGTACACGTGTGTGTGGGTTTGCATGTGTGCCTATGTGTCTGCACGTGTGTATGTGGTCACGTGAATGGGCGCGTGTGCATTTTTGCGTGTGCCTGTTGTACATAGTGCCTGCGCGTGTGCATAGATGTGTGTGCATGTTATTCTGTGTTAGTTGGCGTGCGCATGAGCGTGTATGCGTGAGTGTGTTTGGATGTATAGATGAGGCTATGTGCCTGCACGTGTGCGTGTGAATGTGCGAGTGTGTGTGGGCGAGGGTGTGTGGCTTCGGTGCGTGCTCATGTTTGAGTTTTGTGAGTGTATGCGTGCGTGTGTGACTCTGTGTGTGCCATGTGTGAGTGTGTATGTGTGCACATGATCATGTGGGTTATTATGTGTGCATGTAAGTGGGTGCAAGGTGCTTGTGTGAGTTTTCTGTGTCTGGGTAGGCATACATGTTTGCAAGCATGTGTACATGTGTGTTAGGAGGTGCGTGCCTGTGCAGATGAAGGTATATGTGTGTATTTGAGAACATGTGTATGCATGTTGCTTATCCTTGTGTATTTGAGTGTTTGAGTGCAGGCATTTTCCCTCACAGTCTAGGGAAGATGTTCTTGCCCTCTTTGCTCTACTCTTGGCACGTGGCTGCACAGCTCTCTTGCAGGGATGCCTAAGCATCTTCACCTGAGCAGCCAGAAGAGCTCAAACTCACAGACAAAGGCTTGGTCACTTTCCCTCAGTTTCCCCAAGAGCCACGTCTGAGAGGGGGATGAAGGCTTCGTCTCCTTCAGTTCCCCCAGAGTCCAGAATGCTTGGTGGGCACACGCCTCTCCTTGGCCCAGCGAGGCACTGGAGAAATGTTTGCTTATTCTCAGAGCGGGGAACTTGCACAGGGAAGACACTCAGCCCCCTCCTCCCGCTCCTGCTCCCCTGTGGCTCAAGAGTGGCTTCTGGTTTCTAGGACCTGGTCGAGGGGTTGGGGGTCCCCGGGATAAACTTCTGTCCTCCTCAGTTACTGCTATGCAGAGGGAAGTCACCATAGCCATCTCTGTATAAAGAACGGCTTCCGGGGAACCTCCCCACGACTGCCCACCTCACTTGGCCTCATGATGTTGAAGAGCCAAACACTGAGGTCACGGCTTCTGTTTGTGGCGTCTGGCCCTGGAAACAAAAGGAGTGGAGGAAGAAGTGAAGAATTATGAAAGAGACGGGGACCAGAAGCCAGTCTGTGGAAAATTCTACCAAAAAGGTGTGTGTGGATGGATTAGAGGTGTGCAGGGTAATTCTTTAATTTTTAAAATATGGCATTTTCTGGGCGGAGTGGGGTTTTCTCTTCTCATCCTGGTGTTGACTTTCTTATCTAATTTTCTAAAGGCTGGCTGTTTCTAATGCGAAACCCACTATCTGAAAGTCTCTCCCAAGAAAACTTCCCGAGTGCTCATGTAGCATGCACAGACTATTTCAGACCTGACTTCGGGTGACAGGCCCTCATCACGCACGGGGCACTACAACACATACGGTGCCTTTCAGGCTGTGCACACGAGGGTATGAAACCTAGACGAATCTGTATGTAGATCAGGGCCTCACCACTGTGAGATCTCATGATTAGGGTGCAAATATTTCAAAATACGAAGAGATCTCAAATCCAAAACACTTCTGGTCTCCAGCATTTTGATGAAATGTAGTTTACATATTCAATCTGCGTTCATTATTTTGTATTCTCTTTTCATAAAGAGAATGCTTGGAATGTGTTAGCTTCTGTTTTTTTTTGTTGTTGTTGTTTTGTTTTGTTTGTTTTTACAAATCTGGATCCAGCTCTGGCCCCTTCATTGTGTGTATGTGTATACACACATAATTTTATATGTATTATTATAGTCCCAAGCAAATCACTTAACCTTTTTGAGGCAGTATCTCTTCTGTAAAATGTGATTGACAATTGAGACAGGTGAGGACTCCTACAGCCTCGTGACTGTATTCCATTTTCAAAACCATTACTAGAGGAAATAAGCCAGTCAAAGGAAAAATTAAACCAGAATATAAAGAGAGAAGACAATGCAAGATGCCAGAGTGAATAAACCTGGTGAGGCGGAAGTCTAAGTAACTGGAAGAGATGTGGCTGACGCAAACCTCTAATGCAGTTTAGAAGGATAAATTTTTGTTGTGAAAGAGGCATTATGCAAAGACAAATTCAATAATGGGCCGTATGCATACAGCCGGGCTATCCCTGTGCGACCTGGGGAGCGGGAGAGCAGACAGAATGAAAACCCACTAACAGACTTGTCTTGGTGAAAGTGACTTCAAAATTCTTGGCACTGATCAGTGTAGGCTCAGGTACTGGCTAAACGCTCAACTGTGATACAGATTAGTGACCAGGCTCTCCTTCCTCCTCCTCTTCTCTTCTTTCCCTCTTCTCTTTATTCTTTTTAGATTTTTTGAGACTTTCTCATGTTGCCCAGGTTAGACTCAAACTCACTATGTAGCTGAGAATGGCATTTGAACTCCTCGTCTTCTAGTCTCCAAATGCTAGGTCACAGATGTGTGGCAACATGCCTGGCAGGAATGAGGGCTTCTGCAGTCCCTTCTGCACAGGGGACAAGTACCTTATCCATTGGCTAAGAGCTAGGCACACAGGGAGGCTGTTGCTAGCTCCCTACCTCCCTTCGTGGCCACACGGGTGGGGTGTATGGTACCAGCAGACCTGGCTGGGAGCAGATGAGGGCTTTCTCTTCTGCTACCTGGAGGCAACTGGCCAGAAAGCCAGACAGACCTGGCATGGAGAAGGATTGGGGGTCCCAGGAATCCTGGCCCAAGAAGGCTGCACCACTGCTCTCTGTGCAGGACTGAGCTTTGCTCTTCTCTGCCTCTAGCCCTCACACTGACCCAGAGAGCTCAGAGAACCAGCGGTCGCCTTGGATATCACAAAATCAGGTATTTGCTGCAAAGCCTCCCAGAAATGGACCAGGATTCTTCTCCCAAGAGCCACGGTGACTTTGGAGGCCTCCGGTAAATGTGTGCGGTCCTGACGACACTCATTCAGGAGGTGCGGGTCCAAATTTAAAGTGGTCTCTGAAGTTACAGGCCTCTAAAGGAAAGGCTAGACCTCCCTTTCAACAACCGTGGCTTCCTGAAGACAAAAGCGGAGACCTTCTGAACCAGAGAGCCCCCCTCCCACCCCGGCTAAGGCTCCTGACCACAAATACGGTGTCCTCCTCCCTCCCGCATTTGGGGCTCTCCATAATCTCCTCTCTGAACTCTGCCTCCAGGGGGCGCCAGATGGACACTTCTTGAAGGCGGCCAGGGCTAGGGGAGAAGGCCGGTACCTAACAGGACTGCAGAGACGGGCACAGCGGGAGCCTGAGAGCTGGAGTCTACCTCCTGCTTAAGCGTGGGGAGGGACTCCACAAGCGGCAGAGCTGGGCTCAGGTTCTGTGTGAAGTGAAGCATGATCTAGTCGGCCTACCTCCCGATTCTAGCATCAGAGAGGAAGTTCCTCCCCACCACCACTTGGGGCCAGCTTGTCAATCTGGCTGGGGGAAGGAATGAGGATGACCCTCTTGCTTGAGAAATGGCCAACACAACAACGCCTTGGTTCCAAAGAGCAAGCAAAGCCCGGAACTTGTTCAAAGTCACTTTGTAATTTAGCAGAGGAACCAGCACGGGGAGGCGGTGCTTCTCACGGCGCAGGTGCTGCTTTGGTCGTCTTTGGCAAAGGGCTCAGAAGATGCATGGCCGTGGCTGCCATTCCTGGTTAGGGCGGGGCTGGGAATGTCGGCCTTCTGGGACCCTTGGGTTTCTTCTGTGGTCCTGATGCTTACAGCTGCTGCTGCAGGTCAGAGCTCTTCACAGTGACCTTGGCGCGGGCCTCTTTGTCTTGCTGCCTCAAGACGGCCCAAACTAAGGCAAAACACACCAGGGCTCCACTTTTGAAGAAGAACTGGAGGCCTATGAATCTGAGGGAAGAATGAGAAACCTTGAACTCAGAGGCCCGCGCTTCAGGGACTGGCTAGCCTCTGGGTAGGGATGGTACAGTCAGGAGATGTGGTGCAATTAGAAACCCTGAGGCCTGGGGAGGGGGGGAGCTCCCCAGGGACTCTGGGTATGTGTGGAGAGACCAAACATCTCTCACATTCTGTCACAGACAAATGTACGACCCTGTCTAGCCCTGCATAGTTCCCCCCGAAAGCAGGACTTAACTCCTACTGAACTCCTGACCGCCACTGTTTGGCTTTTCCTTGGCAGGTGAGCCTCACTAGACAGCCCCAGCCTGCAGAAACTATCCTGTGGCTCAGGCCTAGAGGCAACCATTCCCGGCCTGGCCCTGGCCTTGTTGCCAGCTCTTCCACCTCCAGCCAGTCTCTGATATCCAAGCCTTCGGGATCCTCTGAGCTCACCCCTGTACAGAGAGGAAGACTGAGCCCCAGGGGAGGGGTCAGGGCCCTGTACTTCAGGTTGCCACAGTGACTTCGTTGTCTGATAGCTTAAAGCACGAGATATGGTTCTGTCAATATAAGCCTGGGACCTCTTACTTTAGATGTCATTTTCTTTGGGTATAATACGGGGAGTTATCCAGGTGTGGGAGTCTGTGTGGGAAATCTCAGCACTTAAAGTTCAAGGTCAGTCTGGCTGACCTAGTGAGTTTGAGACCAGCCTCGGCATAGAATGAGGCCCTGACTCAAACAAACAAAACAAAACAAAACAAAAATCCAGGGTTTAGTAGCACATGCCTGTAATCCCAGTGCTTGGGAGGGAGAGGCAGGAGATTAGGAGTTCTAGGCCGGCTTCTGTAATATAGTAAGTTTTTAGACCAGCTGTATGAGATCTCTGTCAGAGGCAGTCTCTGGCTCGCAGGGTGACATGCCCTGACATGGACCTTCCTGCCTGGCACTTACCGGTTTCGGAGCAGGTCATGGTCATAGTAGCGGCAGACGGCTCGCCGGCCACAGCTCAGGGCCCAGTGCACACAGGTGGTGTCGATGGCGCTGCCGTGGATCACGGGGCTAGGCATCCAAGCTAGGGAAGGAGAGGCTCAGGGGACAGCAGGGGTCACCACTTCCCAGTCTCCCACCCTCACCACACGCCAGCCAGAAGGGTGCTGGGTCTCTCGGCCTCCAGCCATCCTTCAGCGTGTATCCGGAGGGAGCCTCCATGAGGCTCGGTGTGGCCCAGGCTCACCACCTCCTAACATATGGTCAGGTCTTGTTAACCCACACACCTGGGAGCCCTAAGGTCCCACTCATGCTGTGTCTCCCTGGCCTGGCACAGAGCAGACATCTGGGTACCCAACCAAGGACCCTGGGCAAACTCTTTACCCAATAATCTCAGGAACATGAACTGCATTCCCACTGCCAGGGTCTTATCTTCTTTCTTCACTCCCCTACCAAGAAAGACATGGCTGTGTGAGGATGGAAGGAGAGACGCAGCCCTAGTTCCACATGGCAGCAGGCTCTCAGTAGCTGGGTTCCATCCTCCATGACAGTCTCCTCCCAGGCTGAAGGTCAGGGGTGTGGGGGAGGCTCAGAGCTTTAATGTACGGAGGCCAGTTTCATGCATCCTGGGCCCACATACCAACTACCCTGGCCACCCTCCTCCATCCCTATTCTGCAGATAAAGGGACAGACCACTGCTGAAGTTAGAGCCAGGACTCAAGTCACCACAGCGTGCAGCCTCAACTCCGCACAGTCATCTGCTCCCTCCACATTCTCTCTCATGACAGCCTGCTGTAGGACCCTCCATCTTCAATGTTCCTTTCTTTCTTCTTTTCTCTTTCCTTCTTCCTTCCTTCCCTCTTCCCTTCCTTCCTTCTTTCCTTCTTTCCTTCCTTCCTTCCTTCCTTCCTTCCTTCCTTCCTTCCTTCCTTCCTTCCTTTCCTTCTTTCCTTCATTTTTTCTTTTTGTAAAGCCAAGGTCTTTCTGTAGAGTCCTGGCTGTCTGCAAGATGGGAGAGAAAACTCAGGCTTCCAGGGGAGTGACAGGGAAGAGCTGGTCTGTTGTGGGGGGCCTAGGATACTTGTGTGGCCTCAATCCTTCAACTCTTCCCTTGAATGTCCCATGCTGACTGAGGGAAAGGGTTTCGTGGTACACACCCACCCACCCTGCTGGCTCTGCTGTCACCTTAGGATGAGTATGAAGGAAGGTGTGTGGGTGACAGAGGCCACTGCTGTCCCCAGGCTCATCAGGAGAAGGAAGGGCAGCACCAGGTGGCTGCAGGCTGACTCGCAGGAACCGGCAGGCACCGTGCCATCCCCTGCCACACAGCTGCAGTTGGTGTAGAATACCTGGGGTGAGGAGAAGGAGAAGAACCTTCAGGAACCTCCAAGGGAAGCAGCTGGCCAAGGGCCTAAGGCCTGGGAAGCTCCCCAGTGTCTACAGCCAGCGGGGCAGAACTGGCCGGAGTCCCAGACTCTGACCATCAGTTGATCTGTGCTCACTGGATTCAGGCAAGTGTCTGGAGGCAGACTGGCAGTGCTCAGACTGGCCCACGGCTGTGCGGCAGAGAGACTGTGCCGAGGCCAGTCCCGGTGTGTTTGATGACAGGTGGCAGAACCTCCACCCAGGGATCAACTAAGAAGTGGCCTGGCCACCAGTATCCTTGAGGGCCTCTCAGGAGAAAGTCTAAGCCAGAGCTTCTTTTCCCTTTCTTATTGGTCAGAGTGTTTACGTGTTTGTTTACTTACGTGTGTGTGTGTGTGTGTGTGTATCTATCTGTGGGTCTGTGTATGTGCGTGTAGGTACCCATGGAGACCAGAAGAGGGTGTCAGATCTCCTGGGTGGTGTTACAGCTGGTTATGAGGTCCCCTTCCGGAGCAATACACTCTTAACCATTGAACCACCTGTGCAGCACCAGGTTAGACCTTGACAGACTGCAGTTACTGGCAGCTTCAGCCGGATGTGCAGGGATTGGTCCCATCTCAAAGGTGCCACTGCTGGCTAAGGTACCTGGAGCCCCCAGGGCCTCCTGCTTCCTACTGCAGAACCTCAGATAATTCCTGGTATGAGAAGGGCTGACAAACCCAAGGTGGCAGCTTGGAGCCTTGGAAGGTTTTAAGCTCAGTGGCTATTGGAATGAACTGGCTGAGCAGGAAGAAGGTCCCATTGTCAGGGTGAATGGGGAAAGGATTTTGAGGCAAAGTTATTTGAGGCGAATTAGTGGAAGATGAGAGGTAGGATGGCAGAGGGAGATAACGGGCTTGGATCACTGAGTATCCAAGGCGTCTACCTGTTGCCATGCAGAGCTGATAGCCATGGCCAGGCTATGCTCCCAAGCCCTCACACAACTTCACACCACTAAAAAGTGGCCCTTGATCTTCAGTTCCATGCTGAGTAACCCACTGTGCCGGAGACACCTTGAAGCCAGGTCGTGGGGAAACATGCCAAAGCAGGGCGCTGGCACTGTAGCCCCCATACTGCTCCTTTGCTTGGGAGGACAGCTGGGGTGAACACCGAGGCTGGACACTTTGCTTTCTAGGTTCTTCCCCAAGTTTCCCTCAAAGGTGTCAATGTCTGTGGCGGGGCCCTTCTCACAGATGTCTCCAGTCTTTCTCACAGGGCTGATTTTAAGCCTGAGATCCAGTCAGTGTCTACCTTTCTGCACCTCCCTCTGTTGCCTACCTGAGTTCACCTCAGGCATGGACCAGTCCATACTAGAGCCCAGGTACTCCTGCTGAGCCAAGGAGGTACGCCGGGCGAGAGACAATCCCAGGCTGGAAAGGTGTCCCTGAGGGCTGACCCTCCCCTCTAAGCGGTGCCATCAGACCCCAACCTCCGGCTCCAGGGCCGGCTGGGCTGGAGGGGCCAGTCCCAGCTCTGAGCCTGGTCCTTTCCCAGACCTTCATTTCCTATCTGTACAATGAGCAGACTAAAAATGAGTGCTAAATATCTTCTAGGCGCGATGGCTCTCTGCCTCCTCCTTAGTGAGCTCACCCACGTAAACCACGCATGGCGAGGCCTGGGGTCTAGGAAGCTCTCGCACGGTGTGTGTTCTTCAGATCCCTGCATATGCCACTGTCCTGCCTGGAAAGCCCTCCCATCCCAAGTCCCTGTTTGCCTAGTGACCCTGGGAGAGCCGTCACAGAGGCCGCTGCTTCTTTCGGAGCCCTCTGTGACCCTCCCAGGTGGGCTGTGTCCTCCCTACTCTTGTATGTCCTGGTAGACCACTCCTGCCCACCTGCAGCCTGGAATTCCTGTGGTCATTTCCTTGAGCAGGCCAGCAGCTGTGAGCTCTGCCTCCCCTCCTTGAGCCCTGGCTGCTAATGAAACTTCCTGAAAGAGTGATGCTCTGAACCTGCCAAAGCATAGGAACAAGGCGATGACAGAGGGAAGAGGGAGACAGGGAGAGAGGGAAGAGGAAGAGGGGGGGGAGGGGGAAAGGAAGAGGTGCAGTGACAGGCAGCACCTGCTAGGAGGGGTAGGGGCCTGGAAGCCGGGGTTGTGTAGGAGGTTGACCTTACCTGGCTTCTGCCCAGAGCCTCCTGGACCACGCGACGTGTGCAGCCAGCATGGCAGGGTGTGGTGTACTCCACGTAGGCACTGGCGTCGCAAACAGGGTTAAAGTCATCCGATTGGCAGGAGCAAGGCTCAGCACAGCCAGGAAACAGGCTTGGCCCTGGCTGCCCACTAGACAGAGAGAAGACACGTGTGTTTGGACGGGCCTTCTTCTCCCGGGCCCCTTGCTGTAGCTTGGCTCCTACTCTGAGAGGACTGGCCAGCAATTTGAGCTGCAGCTCTCCGTGAGGGAGAAATGCTGACATTCAAAGGGACTTTCTAATGGTGGAGTGAGGACTCTGGGCCAGAGTCTGTGGGAGTGCCCTTCCGAACCTGGATTCTGCATGTCTGGGAGCTTCTGCCAATATCCCTGTGTATGGATGGAACACAGGAGAAATTCCTCCCACGAGTGAGAGTTGGATGAAGGGGCCATTCTCTCTAGGAGTTGAATCACTGCCTTGTCTCAGCAAAGCACAGCTGTGATGGAGCCTGCTGAGAAGACCAGTTGTGGAACCTTCAACCTGTGCCTTCCTCCCTCTGGGACCTTAATTTCTCTGTTACCTGGGCTGGGGATCCCTTCTCACTGTCACCCTTCTGAAGTCTCACAACCTCTGTGTTCATTCTCCCGTCCTGCTCATTGTGTCAAATGTCCCCGCCAGAGGACCTACTCCAAGCATCGCAGAAGGCAGAGGACGCTGCACTGCGTGGGGCTCAGGTGGAGACGTTTGACTAAGATGCCTCCCACCACGATGCCCACGATGGCCAGGGGGACAGTGAAGGAGCTTTGGCTGGAGGACTGAGGGTGGACAGGAGCAGGAGCCCAAAGACAGGCTGGGTCGGAAGAGTGACTGCCCTGGGGTAGGGATAAGTGGCTTCGGGACATAGGCTCTGACTGGGCCTCATGCTAGGAGGAATCTCACCCTCGCTAGGTGAACTGTACCATCGGTAAAGTAGCTCTAACAATAGAACCCAGTAAGAGAGCTCATGGAGGGAAACTCGATTGGCCCCAGACAGCTTCAGTGGCTCATCAATTAACTTATCAATTAAGTTAACTCATCAATTAACTTATAAGATCTTTGGTGAGAATGTGAGTGAGATGTGATGCCAAAGGTGAGGGGGAAGGAGAGAAAGGAGACACAGGCAGGCAGGATGTCTGAGACCAACTAAGTTAATTGAGGAGATTTTTCTCTACTCCTGTACAACTAGTGTCAAGAACGCCTGCCAGAGCCAGTGTGTCTCACACACCCAGCGGGCTCAAGGCTTCCCTCGTAAGTTCCCGTGAGTCTCCATGAGATCTCTGCAGTGGCTGCTATCATTGCATTGTTTCCCCCCTGACTCTTGAAAGATGATGGTAAGCTGGGTGCTGTGGCTCACACCTGTGATCCAGCACTCGGAAGGCAGAGGCAGGTGGATCTCTGTGAGTTTGAGGCCAACCTGGTCTACAAAGAGAGTCTAGGACAGCCTAGGTTACACAGAGAAACCTTGTCTAGGAAAAAAAAAGATGGTAAAATATCCATTGACTTTTTACGTGAAAGATCAATGGGAGGACCTAGGCCTTGCTCAGACTTGGGGAACCCTGTACATGGAAGGCCCCACTCCAGACAGCCTGGCTGTTTGGGAAAAGGAGAGGGAAAGGGAGCCAAGTAAGGAGGGTGGGGCCCAAGGTGTGTTGGCCCTGAGTGAGTGCTCCGAAGTGTTGGCACTTGAGTGAGGGATGCTGTGTCAAGGAGGAGGACGTTGGGAAATTCTAGTTGAGTGCTGGGCCAAACAAAGCTTATAACATCTTCCAGGGAAAATGAGGTCATTGTATGAAGAGGCTTCTTAACCTCTTCTGTCTCCTGGAGAAGAACCACCCAGCTCCCTGCTCATCCCCCTTCTTTAAGGCATGGAGCTTGTCTCTTCTTGGGTGGATCTGACCTCACCTGAGAGCAAAAGCCTCCCCGAGGCTGTGCTGAGTCCTGTCTCCTAGGTGAGGCCTCCATCTCCCTTCTGCTGGCCCTCGGGTCTCAGCCTCCCAGGAAATGCCATCACACAGGTGGCTGTACCTTGACTCAACCTCTGGCCCTTCCCAGGCCTCCTGCCCTTGAGGTTCCATCCATGCCTCGTCTCTGGCATTTGATGCCTTCCAGTGACCACTGCTTGCTTGTGCCTGAGCCCAAGGGGGGACTTGCATAGAGCTTCGTAGGCATGGAGACAGTGCCCCAGGGGAGGCGAGAGAGGGAGGTGGCTCACTGACCTACCCTCACCATGAACCTTCCCCGCCACAGGCCTACTCACCCCAGGTCCCGGGTGATGCCTGCAATATGGTGGGTAGAGCAGCCAATGAAGAAGAGTGGCAAGCTGAGCAGCAGACACGACAGCAACCCGAGAAGGCAGAGGACGCTGCACTGCGTGGGGCTCAGGTGGAGACGTTTGACTAAGACGCCTCCCACCACGACGCCCACGATGGCCAGGGGGACAGTGAAGGAGCCGATGAGCAGGTTGGCAAAGGAGGCTGTGATGGAAAACTGGCGCTCCAGGAACTTGGGCAGGAAGGTGGCCATGCCTGCCACCATGGATGCCATGCACACCTGGGACAGGACTATCAGCAAGAAGATGGGGTGGCGCAGGGTCCGCAGCAGCACCCTAGGGAAGACTGTCGGGATGAGTGGGAAGGAGGTCAGCACGGGCAGCCAGCCACCCCATCCATGTCTGCCCACCCCGCCCCTTCTGTTCCTTTCTATCTCTTCATTCCATTTAATTCTCGTGCATCCCATGCTCCCCCATTGCATTCGACTCCTCTCCGTCCGGCTCCAGCTTTGAAATTCTCTTCATGTCTCCCAGTTCGCCGAGTTACATGGGAGTTTGTTTGACATGTTTATTTCTGTTCAGTTCTGTTGGAGTCGGTATAGTTCTGTTTCATGCCATCTCATCTGAGTCTGTTTCATTCATTCCATCTGATTTCAGCTTTTTTCCATTTAGTTATTCTCCTTTCCCCTACTCTCACTGTGCTCTTTCCATGCCAACCTGGGTTTGGTCCTTCCCTTCTTTGTCCTCACCTCAGGTGCCCATGCTGCCCTGATGCCTCGCAGCTAGTGTGTGTTTCTCGAGAACACTGGACCTAACAGATTGCACATTTTATTTGTTTAGCTGTTTGGGTTTTTTGCCACCTCACCCTCATCTTATTTCACAGTTGTTTTTTTTTTATGGTATCAGTTGCTTTATCTCTAGAGTCCAGGGCACAGCAGTCATTTTGTAAATGCTGTTTAATGAGTGAGGACCAGAGCAAGCGTCCAAACGCCTGGTCCTCAAGAATCTCAGGTCTCCAGAGAAAATGAACTCCGGGCAGCCTTGGGCCAGGAGGCTTCCTGGATGTAGGACAGAGTTAGGACCTAGAGAATGAGGGGACCTGAAGAGGAATTCCCTGTAGGGGTGTGGCCAGGACACCAGGCTGGAGACAAGCAGTGGTCCTGGCATTGGGGACCTCCCCAGGCTCTGGGTAGCCCCGAATCCTGCCGTAGTGCCCTAGAGCCTCCTTCAGGCTGCCCTCCCTGACAGTGCTAAGCCTTTGAGCTCAGAATGGTAAGTAGGTCCCCTCGCTCCTGGGTTCAGCGTCCTGGAGGGTAGGGGTGCCCATGGGTGTTGGAGGACACTTTCTGTTCTGGCATACAGAGCTCTCCACTGCTAGACAGACTGTGTGGGGGGAAAAGGGAAGAGAAACCAGGGTGTGAGAGACAGCCGTGGAGGTCAGGCGAGAGGGCCTTCTATTCCTGTCAGACCGAAGCCGGTGTCCCGTGTTATGGGAGACACACTCTGTCTTCAGAGCATAGTCAGACTAGCTTGGTCCTTACCCTCTGGGCTGGGCCTGTTTTCTTTGGAGGCAGAAAATAAAGTCAGCCCAGGAGGAAGTGATTAGGGGCTACAGCTGTGGACCGTCTCCTCCAAGTCCCTGGTCCTTGCCTCCAGTCTATTCAGCTAGCATTTGAAATGGGGTAGGTGGCTCAACACCCACCCCAGCTACAGCCCTTTCCTTCTCTCCATCCCTCATTCTCTCTCCCTCCTCCTCATCTCTGTTCCTTCTTTTCTTCTCCTCCCTCCCTCCACGCATTGCCCAGGGCATCTGAAGTTCCATATGTGCTGGGAGATTTTTATATTACTTGGGCTTCACTGCTAAATGAACCCAGAGAGGGAGAGAGAGAGAGAGAGAGAGAGAGAGAGAGAGAGAGCCAGGGACATACTCAGGTTTGTACAGGGCAAGGCCAGGCTCTTTTCTAGCACAGAACCGCTCTCCTTTCTGCCCCTCCCACTTTGTTCCCATTCTTTCTGGCTCTGGAGAGCTCCTTTTCTACCCTGCTCATCCTGCCGCACTCATCATTGCAGTGGACTGCATGCCCATCCCCCATCCTACGCCCCAACAGCTACAGCTTCCTCCACAGGGATGGAAAATTCCTGGAGGGCAGGGCCATGCCTTTCCCTTAACTGCCTGAAGGGGGAATTCCAGGGCCTGTCTCCTGCTCAGAGGTTCAGCCTCCCCTTTAGACAGGGCTTCCCTCACTCAGCACAAGGTCTCCCCATCAGACACTGCAGGACCTTCCTCAGCTCCGTGACTGTCTCCCTCACCAGCCTTGCCCAGCTCAGAGGCCACACACTGGCCTTTTAAACAGGACAAGCGTGCTCTCAGTTTAGTGCTGTTTCCTCCCTGAAGTCGCCAGCCTCTCCTGGGCCGAGTGGCTCCCATCAGACAAAGATCTCTCCTAGCCTCCTGGTCTGGTCTCTTCCATCAAATAGCTTCTCTACGATTTAATATGTGCAACCAGCCCCCAGCTGCTCTTTGAGCAGGAGACAGAGCGGTGGTTAATATGTTCTTCCATGCTACAGTGTGCTGAGCAACTGAGGGTGACCTGAGACCAGCCTTCCCTTCTCCTGGGAATGCTGGAAAACTGGGGGCAGGATCATAGATACCCCAACAAAGAACTGGGTCCAATTCTTTCCTGCTACACATGTCTTTGGTGAAGGGTGAAGGATCCCTTTGAATAATTCTTTCCTAAACCACAACAGATCTACTTACTGTTCAAGCATGAATAAGAACAAAAGGTGGGAAAACTATACCTTAGGCCTATACATAGGCAGTTTTAAAAATTGTTGGTAGTGTTCATTGCCCATGCCTCCTCCTACTTGACAGTCATGCTAATCCTTGAGGAAGGCAAAACAAATATTACCAACCCAATCTTATACCAGAAAACCCAGGTCAGAGTCAGAAAATACCTTCACAAGACTGTACACTGACCAGTGTCTCGCAGGCCTTACATCAAGGCCTTTTGACTTGCCTGCCTGGCACACAGCAGGCACTCAATCAATGCCCTCAGGATTGAGTTCTTTAGAAAATGCTGCCTGGTCCCACTGTGGGCTCTGGTAGCTGACTGATTGATTTCCTTGTGTCAGGATTAGTGTAGCCTGAAGTTTCTGTCAGTGACTCTAGTTCTTACTGTACTGGGACACCAAGGCCCACAGAGCATGGACCAAGAACCAAACCAAACAAAAAACAGACCCTTGGCTTTCTATCTGTGCCACAGCCTGGAGATTTGGTGAAAATTTACTCAAGGCTTCCGGCTTGCAGATTTAGAGGAAAGTGGGTGAAGGACACAAGTGCTGACCTTCAGAAGCTCACTACTTAGGGCAGGGGGTGAGCACAGACAAGGCAGAGCTGAGACAGATGCTCCCGGTTGCTGAGAACCTGGAGGGTGGAAGCTTGTTCCTGGTGGGAGCCAGGCATGTCTAGAGGACATAGGGCTCTTGAACACGACCTAGAGGGACAAGCAAGAGTGTGATGGACATTGGTACCCCTGCAGAAAGGGGTATATGACAGACCTTTCCAGGAGTGCCATTCCTGAGAGGCCTGTAGAAACAGACTAATTAATAAGAAAAAGCTTTAAGTGTCTGTGCTCTGTATAATTTCAAAGGCGCCTCTGGTTTCCTCCCTCCATTTTTGCCTGGGCTCACTTACCTTTGATAAACTGGATCACCGTCAAGTCCGGAGCAACCTGGGCCAGTTCAGCCTCTTTCTTTAAAGGCTCCTGCTGAGAGGAGAGTTCCTCGCCCTAGGAAGACATACAGCCAGGCCAGTCAGCAGGACGTAAGAGGTCCCGCTCTGACATGGCAGTGAGATTAGCAGCGGCGGGGGAACTCTGGGATAAGGAGGGGCCAGCAGCTCCGGCACCTCATCAGGAGCATAGACCACCAGTATTCCATTGTTTCTTGGCCCTCTACATACTCCACAGAGGGTTTGAAAGACTGAATGAAACTCTTGTGGTTAAACTGTAACATGTTGCCATTACCATGCTAAATTAAACAGGATGCTGGTGACAGTTAGTTCTATAGCCACAGTTAAGATCAGTCCTAATCTCCCTATGCTTTCAGCACTATCTTCACAACCAGTTAGATGACCGATTTCTTCACGATGATACTATCATAATATGATTATCATTGCCTCTGTCCTAGCCATAGGTTGTGTGTCATTATCACTGTGACCCATATCTTCAGAATCACCGCAACATTGTGATTATAACGTCATCATCCTTATCTTTAATATAATAGTCTTCATCAGTGTCAATGTCACCAACCTCACCTCAAGCACGAAAAGACTAATGTCACCAAAGAGACATCATCAACTCACAGTCTTATCACTATTTCAGTCCCCAATAATACTTCCATTGCTGACATCATTATCAATGTCACTGATACTATGTGATGACTAATCTTGGTTATCAACTAGACATGCTCCAACTGAACCTCAACTGAAGAAATGGCTTCATCTGATTAGCCTATGGCCATGTCTGTGCGTCGTTTTCTTGATTGCCAGTTGATGTAGGAGGCACTGGCCTACCGTGGGCGGCAGCACGCCTAAGCAAGTGGGCCCAGGCTGCGTAGGAAGGTAGTTGAACACGAGCCTGGAAAAAGTCCCCTGAGCAGCATTCTTCCGTGATTTATCACTTCAAGAATTTCCCCCGTTGGAAAGCTCTCCTTGAGTTTCTGCTCTGACTTCCATCAAGGATGGAAAGTAATCCTTTCCTTTCCAAGTTGTTTTTGTTTGAGGTGTTCATTATATCCATGGGAAATTAAATTGGAACACATCACCAAAGCTATGTATCCCACTGCCACTAGCATCCTTTGTCAATGTCACCATGACCTTTAGCAACATCTTTGTCACTCTTACTACCCAACGTGATAAGACCCTATGATGACTGTGGGTCTGATGTCAGTAGCCAGCAACTCGAGGGAAAAAGACTTTGGCCCAGTGTAAGGAGAAACCAGTTCTCTGGAACTAAGTTTGTGGCTGAGAGAGTAGGCTTCTCAGTGCTTGAGACTGACACCTACTTCTCAACTCGTTTCTCTTTTCTTCTTTTTGAGACAGGGTCCACTTTGTAACTCTGATTTGCTTGGAACTCACCAGTTTGACTTCAAAATGTGGCAAAGCTATCCTCCTGCCTCTGCTACCAAGTGCTAAGATCACAGGCATGAACCACTCTGGTTTCCCATTGCATTGTTTTTCAAGAGACTTTAATGCTTGCGTGGGTCACCTCTATACAGAACTCATGTCCAAGCTGCCAATCTCGCTCTTGCACTGGCTGCCAAAGTCTGACCTGTCCCAGCATGCAATTCATTCAAATATTAATCCAGTCATGCCATCTTCCTTGGGTCTTTGCATTTCCATCTTCTTATGTTTTAGCTGGGCACAGCTTTGTTTGGGTTTTCTGGCCTGGCTTTGGGTGGAGGGGTGGGTGGCAGGGCAGAAAGCATTAATGGGTTTTGCCATTCTCTCAGTGATGAAGAACAGAAATGAGACTGTGGCAGGAAATGAGCATGAGGCGGGCAACAAGCAGCCTTCAGCCTCTGTTGGTGGCAGAAAGCCGTTTACTGACACACCTGACACACAGAGGCAGGCTCCCCAAAATCCTGGCCATATCATTCTTGGCCTCTGTTCTAAGCATATGGAACCATATGGGCCAGAGTGGCAGGTAAGCATTGCCATAGTGACCAGGGCTAAGGCCTCTGTGGTGTGTGGTGACAGTTAATCACAGGATTTGCTTGACCTTAGTGGGGGAGCCATAAGAAAAAATAAGGTTGACTTTCAGAATTTTCTGGGAGGCTGGGAATTCAGAACAGAAATTAAATCAATTTCTATAGAAATGAAATCAATATCTAATCACTCAGGTGTGATTCAAAACCTGTTTTGGGTCTCTTGTTCACTGCTGGACAGGGTTCTGCATAAGCTTAAGCAGGCACTGTGTTTATCTTGCTCTCTGTCTGAGCTGTGGTCCTCACTACAGGGGCCTGAAGCAAAACCATATCTGAAGCTCCACTGAAAGAAGAGCTGTGGATGGCTCTAACCAGCTGTTGCAGCCAATGCCAAGCTCTTGGGAGAAAAACAAGAACAGCGAGAAGAGATGTTGCCACACTTGAAGGAAGCCCCCAGACCAGGATGGTTCAGCATCCGGCAGTGAATTACAATGCTCCCCAGGAGCGAGCAGAACTGAGCGAGATTCTGTGAGATGCTGGGCCTCAGGTGTGTGGGCTCAGGGCTGCGCATGTGTTCTGCCTTCCTCGGGATCTGCAAATGGCAGGGTGTGGGGAGCCCTCTGCTTCTTCACAGGTGAGCAAACATGCTCTGAGAAGGGGTGTTACACAGCTAGAAAGTGCTACAAGTAAGATCTGAGGGTTTGCGTTGCGTTGCATTCAAGGCTCTCCGGGGTGAGTGTGGCCTCTGCGCTGCGGGTTGGACATGCTGTGGTCACATGTCTAATGCAGCAGCCACCAGTCACATGCAGTGACGAAGCACTTGAGATATGGCCAACCAAAACATGCCACAAGTGTCACAAGTGTTAAATATATATTGGATTTTCAAGATGTAGCAATAAACTTTTTATGTTATATGCCAAATTGGAATTTTTAGACACAGTAAAATGTGTGTATGCATGCTTTTTTTTTTTTTTTTTTTGAGTCAGGGCTCATGTGGTCCAGGCTGACTGAAGGTGACCTCAAACTCCTTTTAAAATTTCTGAAACAGAATCTCACCGTGTAGCTCGGGCTGGCCTAGAGCTTATCATGCCTTTAACTCAAGGTTTATCCTCCCGCCTCAGCTGCCAGAATACTGGGATTACAGGCATGAGCTACCACAGACAGCTGACTTCAAACTCCTTCTGTGTCTCAAGTGCTGAGATTACAAGCCTGTGACATTGTGCTCAGTCCAAATTTATTATTGAAATAAATTTAATTGACTTTTGGCTGGAACTACTAGAGACTTCAGCATCACACACACGACTTGTCTGGTAATTCTTTTGGACATGCTGTCATAGACCAAGGTACTTTTTCTTTCTTAGCCCTAACCACAGTGGCCAGGGGGAAGGGCCTGGATAGCTGAGGAAAGAGGCCAGGATCCCCACATTTCTCACCAGGGAGGGGCGGGCTCGCCCTTGAGAGCAAGCAGGATCTTGTGCCCTTCGTGCCCAGGTCACAGTGTTACCTCTCCGTGCAGATCCATTGCTGCCAGGTTCACTGCACTTTCATATCCGCCCTGTCACTTCGGTTCAGGCTTGGTCTGTCTGCGCTCGTCGGGCAGAGGACAACACCGAATGAGAAATGTTACCCACCAAGAAGACCCGGTAGAGCAGGCCACCAAAGTCAGCTTCTCTGCTATCCATGGCACGTATTGTAGAAAGGGTTTGGGGACAGGAGAAAGAGACAGATCTGTCTGGGTGGTGGCGGGGGCTTTGGAGTGGGGAAGGTCTCAGAAGAGGTGTTCAGAGAGGAGTGTGGCTGGAAGGAGGGGTGACAGAACAGGCCACAGTATGACCTGAGGCGTGGAGGTGGACAGAGCGTGCATCAGAACAGACTGTGGGCACCACGGCAATCTGACTACAGACAGTGCTCCCTGGGGAAGCAACGGGACAACTAACAGACTGCGGCCAGACCTTGGTGGTCTATGGCTAGAAGAAGGGACGGGGACTTTATTCTGGAGGTGTCAAGAGCTCCTATAGTCCCAGGTTCATATACCCCAAATTGTTTCTACCTTTTAACCCACATCTGTTTTGAGGACTGCTGACTAATAGTGGTTCCTCAGACAGGAAACACTGCGCTGCTCAAAGCAGGGCCTTAGGATGGCCCATCTGGCCTGCGGTTTGTCCAGGTCAGCAAGCCTGGTAGAACTTCCTCTCTTAGGAGCTTAGTGCTGACAGCTGCAAGCCCACAGGACATGCATGCTGTGAAATAGGACTTGCTGTGGGTCCCTAGCCATCCTGAAGCTATCTTAGGGAACAGCTGAGGTCCTGGAAGGCTTCGTCCTGGGGCTATGGGGCCGGGCCTGGGATGTCAGTTCATAAAGGACTCCTTGTTGGCTCTCACTGCCTACCTGTGTTATCACAGAGAGCAGTCTGAGAGCTGGTGGCCCTCTAAGGGGGTGGGGCAGAGAGTCAGGGCATCTTGGCCTTCGGCTTCTTCTGGTGGGGTTCTGGTGGCAGCCCACCAGAAGCACCGAGTCAAATGAGTGGCTCACGCGTCCTCTATTTGATCTTTCCACTCATGTATTGACATGCGACTCTGTCCTTCCACGGACCCTTTGCTCCTGTTCCCGTTTCTGCTGCTCTTTCATCCTGGTTGATCAGTTGAAAGAGTGCACAGCAATGGGTTTTCCTGGAACTGAGCCTCGGTGGCATTTACAAGTCACGTGACCCCGCTATTCATTCCCAGCAAACCAAGTCCCTCGAGGGTAAACAGAGCACAGGAGCTGTGCTGCAGCACGGATACAGCAGGCAGCAGGGCGTGGTGAGGTGCTGCACACACAGGACCCCACAGGGACACGAAGAACATAACACATGCCAACTTAATTCCTGCTGTTTTACCTAGCGCCAGACCTGGCTTTGGTGGGAGCTGCCTCAAACTCTCTCCAGGATATAACAAAGGAAGACTTTGAAAAGCAAATAAGAAACATGGTGGTCAGTGCCCTCGCTCGGTTAGGGCGGCTGGCGAGGTGCTGGAGGAGGGGGAACCGTTGCACATCACTGGGAACGTGAGTCTGTGAAGTCACTAAGCCAAAAAGTATGGTGGTGACTCACAAAACCCAAAAACAGGGCTGGGGATGCAGCTCAGCCAGAACAGCGCTTGCAGAGCATTCACGAAGTCCTGGCTTCAAGCCCCACTACCACATAAACTGGGTGTGGTGCCCACTCCTGTGTTCCCAGCACACGGGTAGCGGAGGTAGGAGAGTTCATGGTCCTCTTTGGCTATGTAATGACCCCAAAACACACAGAGCCTTGTCTCGAAAAGAAAATAAAAGGGAGAAAACAGGGCTGGGGATCTGGCGGAGTGGTACATGCTTGCCCCGCACGCTCACTGTCTGGGTTTATCAGAATCTCAAAAGTAAACAGGCAGGTGAATCAACGGCACCTAGTGTTAGGGAAGGCCGCATGCTCGTGCTCACTGCACATTACTCACAATCACTGAGACCAACAGTCAACCTGAGTGTCTCACAACGGTCCTCAGCCGGTGAACGGATGAAGACCTTGTGAGTACTCTTCTTTTTATTTCTTTCTTTTATTTCATGTGCTTTGGTGTTTTGCCTGCATTATGTCTGTGTGAGGGTGTGGATCCCCTGGAACTGGAGTTACAGGCATGTGTGAGTTTCCATGTGGTCACTGGGAATTGAACCCAGGTCCCCTGGAAGAGCAGCCAGCACTCTTAACTGCTGAGCCAGTGAGTACTATTTTTAACAAGGAATAACGCTCTTTCATTTGTCAGGACAGTGGATAAATACGGAGTGCATTGCATTAAGTATAAGATGCTGGAGGCGGACAGATGTGTGTAGGTGGAGTCTAAGAAATTGGAACTCAGGGAAGCGAGGCTGCAGTGGTGGTTCCTAGGGGCTGGCAGGAAACTGGGGGTTGCTGCAGGGGACATACAAACTGCAGAGCTACAGAAGGAGCCAGTTCAAGAGGACTACTGTGCATTATGATGACAACAGTGAAACTTGAGAAATGTCCACACCAGGCAACCGTGTGAGATAATGCCTCTGTTGGACTCTTTGACGTAGCCATGGCCTCCTGTGCAGATAGGTCCTGGGCCCTACGTCTAGGAGATGTCTGAAAAGATTTCCCATATAGACCAGGTTTGACCTGCAGGACAGACGCATGCAGGATGGAGCAGCCAGTCTTATCGAGTGGGCCCCCTTCTCCAGGCTCTTTATTAGTGACCCGAGTGGGCCAAGCCAGCCAACCTTACTGCAAGCAGCCTGGCTAGCCCTGGAAGCCTCGAGGAGGTGGAGGAGGAGGAGGCGGAGGCAGAGGATCGATTCTTCCCACATCAATATTTATTGCCCAGGAGCTGCTGGAAGCAGATCACCATGTTCTCAGCCTTCAATCTTTTCTTAAGAACCTCTCAGCTCCTCTCCTCCCAGAACCCCATGAGCTGACAAGGCAGATGCAGACAGCCAGACGGGCACACAATCAAGACCAGCGTCGCAAGGCTTCACAGCACATAGCTCTCAAAAGCCAACTCCAGGAACCAGAGCAGCCAGGGCTGCACATTCTCAGAACCCAAGGCAATTGGAGCAGTGCTCCAGGAATCTGACCTCTGCACGGTATACACCCCCCACACGACAGCAAGCACAGGGGAGTGACTTGCTGTAAAGGTACACGACAGACAGCCACCCTCCCCTAGTGCGCTCTGTCTAAATACAGAGCCAGCTCAGAGGCATCTGTCAACAGCCTCACAGCCTCTTGTGTTCCTAAGTGACACTCCTCCTTCCCAGGACTCCTCTCCAGGTTCTGGGAATTTGAATCTTGGCCTAATGAGATTCCAAACCTTCCCCCTACCTTCAAGCACTGTCAGCCCAGTCATTCACTGTCTCTGGGAACCACCACTGCAGAATAAGCCCACTTCTGGGCAAGCCCTGTCTCAAGGCAGCAGAGCCTGTGCTTATCCCATTCCTTGCCCACTGGTGCTCTGCTGCCTGCTCCCGGCACGGCCATCATGGTCTCAGTGGCCTCTCTCCACTACTTATGCACCCAGCACCCGGTAAAAAGCAGCTAAAGAGAGTCCTTGCTCCCTATTTTTCCAAGGATAACCTTGAGCCCTGAAGCCAGCAAAGGCTTTGTGAGTCTGGCCCCTGCTGGTGGGATCTGGAGCCCGAGTTGGTGCCAGAACATGGAGGGCACTTACCTTGCTGAGCATCGAGGCTGCACCGGCCAAGACCTTCCGCCTGAAGTGAAGCTCGTGTTTCTCCTTGGGCATATCCTTGGGGAAGAAGAAGTAGGGGATGGCAGCCAGCACCACCAGTCCCGCAGAGATGAGGAAGCCCAGCCACCAGGCGCCCACCCATCGGGGGTCTTTTGGGGTCAAGTTGATACCTCCTGGAAGAGAAAAACCACGATGACATTAGTGTCACAGCTGGCTGTCATTTCTGCCTCTGAGAACCTCCAACCACTACACCAATGGAGTACTGGATCAGTGATAACTTAAACCTTGGGCAGCTAATTAATCTCTGTGTCTCAGTTTATTCCACTGTGACATACAGATATTAATAGCATCGGTAATTAAAGTTTTGTACAGAAACTAATGTGTGTGTGTGTGTGTGTGTGTGTGTGTGTGTAAAGCTAAAACAAGTAAATTTTATTAAAAATTTAAAAATCCAAGCTGAACACTTTGGAAACGGAAGCAGTAGGATCAAAAATTCAAGGCTGCCCTTGGCTAAGCATTTAGTTTGAAGCCAGTCTGGGCTACATAAGACCCTGTTTCAGAAAACAAACAAAATCTACAAAAGACAGGCATGAAAAGCACTTCACGGGATGTTCATTTTATAGGCACGTATCCCTCTTCTCCATCCTATTGCAATTTCTACTGTTAGACAAAGCGTTCTTACCAAATCAAATGAAGGTGGAGTTGCTGCTGTCTCCAGACCATGTTTAAAACAAGTAGGACTGTTTAACGGAAGCATTTGGCCTTACTGAAGACCCGCTTCAGATGACCACAGGGTTGGGGGCAGGGAGGGGGCTAAGGAATGTGTTCCTTTCATAAGTCCTAATGCCATGGTTTTGGCCCCTTACCTGTTCTAATTAGAACACGACACTGATGAGACCATCTGCAAGCTGGGCAGGGAGGCACAGGGATGTAGTGCGCTATCACCTGCACTGTGGTGGGCCTCTCAGCGATACCCTTGAGTCCCCCGTGCCTCTGTAAGTAATCCCAACCAAGTCATTGGCTCACCAAGCTCGCCCAAGATGGAATTGTATCTTTGGTCTGTCATCATTGCCCTATCTGGGGTGAAAAGATACTTGCTCGCTTCTCTCCAGGAAAAGTCACACAACACCTCAACCTCACAGGTACTTGTATAAAAATACAAGTCTCCAAGAGCGGCACCAGCCAGCGGCTCACACAACCTGTCCTCCGGGTGTTGGAGTCTGAGCTTCTCTGGGCAGGAGCTAGGGGCACAGCTGGCACTTGGCAGATGCACCTCCAGGGCCACGATGGGTGCGGCTCCTCCACCGATGGCACTCAGCGCCTTGCTTGTTTCTCGTCTGCCTTGGTCCCCAGCCAGACTAGAGGGAGCCAAGCTCCTTCTGTGTGCTTGCTAGCCTGTGCCTGCAGCAGGCAGAAACCACCCACCCTTCAAATTCCCCATGAAGAAAGAAGAACCTGGGAGGCGACTCATAGACGTCTACCCTGTGCCAAGATGGTAGCAACAATGACAGAGACTTCCTCCCAAGTGGAGGTGGCCGGGAAAACCTAGGCCACCCCAACTTTCAGGGCCTTTCTCTCAGGGTATCAAGAGGTGGGTATCGGAGGCCAGGTCTGGTGTTGGGGCCCAGTGTTCTAGAATGAAGAGAGATGGGCAGAACTGTCACTGGGGACAGTGTGCATAACTGTCCAGACCTGTTTCGGCTCAGGGAACCCATGGGAAAAAGCTAGAGGATGGTCACCCAAGTGGCTTCTAGGACCTGCTAGAAAATCCCCAAATGAGAGACGGGACTTTGAGCAGTAGGATGCAGAAGGCATGCCTGGCACTCATGCTGCTGTGACATCCAGGCAGCTAAGACACCACAGTAACCTGCTCCAACAGAACACCGTCCCTCATCCCCGAAATCTCCCAGCCCCCTGCGCATGCAGAGATCCAGAGCTCTCCAGTCCCGGCACACCTTCCCGGCCTCTTTCAGACCAAGGTTTAGCCAGACTTCTTGGCCCACTCTGACCTCCAGATGATTCTGAGAACACAATTTCCCAAGGGACACCTCCAAAAGTTTCTCAGACTCTGAGGTAGTCCTTTGGCTTAAAGGGTCCCCTAGGCCATGTCTCAGCTGAGAGAGGCCCAAGGGAACACATGAGCATTGAGCTCTGCTCCAAGTTCTCAGCATGCTATGGCCCTGGCCTTAGAAAGCTCCCCCCCCCCCCCCCGCAGATGGTGCTTCCTACAGGCTAAGAGGGTGTATCTTACTATCTGTCAACAGTTCACCTGTGCCTGGGAGACAGAGGGTATGTGACAAGGTAGGATGGTGACAGAGGGCACAGCTCTTCACTTTACAGTTTATCCCTGACACTTCACTAGATATGGTGACAGTCATGGGGGACAGGAGGATAGAGATTATCTCAAGCCGGAGGAAACTGAGGCCCAGAAAGTGGGAAAAAAGGCTCCTCCACGGTCAGGGTTGCTGCTGCAGTTCCCATGTGGGTTCCTGGATTTCATGCCTCTCGGTAAGACCAGTGATCAGTTCCAGAGTATGTGCATCCCTGAGGATGAGTGAACACCCCAGGCTCACCTTCTGGCATCCGGTCAATGTCCACATAAAGGCGGAGCATGAGGCTGCCCATCCCATAGGCCACGGCAGGCCCCATGGTGGTTGCTGCAAACAGGATTCCTGCAACACAGTGCTTTGGTGAGACTACCCTGGCACCGCCTGCCCTCGGCATCTCTCTGCCTATCTTCAGTAGGTCACTGCATACCTTCCTGGGTCCCTGCCAATCCTTAGCGGGTCCCTACCTACTCTCAGTGGGTCTGTGACCACCCTCAGTGGGTCTCTGCCTGCCCAGTCTTCCCTGGCAAGAGCAGTTGTGTTTCCTGGTCAGGACTGGGGAGCATTTCAGGGATTCTCCACATTTCTCTTGGCCCATCCTCTTACTGGATCTCTCTTCCTCTGCCTGGCCCTGGTCCCTCTCTCAGAACTTAAGCGGGAGAGACCATCCTTACCAAGGTAGAGGGGTGAGTTGCTATGGTGGGCAAAGTCATCAATATAGGAGACACCGAAGGGCTGTATGGGCACACTGCCTATGCCGAGCAGGGTCTGTGCTGTGAACATGAGCCCCACCATGGTCAGATGCTTGGCTTCTGTGCGGCTGGAACAGCTGTCATTGGAGAGGGTGGAGGCCGGAGCCACAGTCGTGGGCAGGCACAGGGATGCATCAAAGTCCTGTGACCTATCTTCTGGGAGAGGACGATAAGAAATATGACCAATACTCACCAAATGTAAGGAACTCACTTGATCTCCCAAAAATCTAAGGCTCACAGACCAGATGCATGTCAACTAGCTGGGCCTCACAGTCTGGCTTCATAATTGCTGTCCTTAATCTGCTACAGGTCACTTTTCTGAGCAGGGGCATTCAGAAGGGTCATGACAGTGGTGACTCTTGGGCAGTGGTGTCCAAAAAATAAAAAATAAAAAAGGGTAGAATTTGAACTGGGTGGAGAATGACAAATAAGATTTTTCCAGAAAGAAAGAAAGGGAAGGATATTCCTGGGAGAGTTCACAGTAGGACAAACCCAGGGCCTCCAAAGGGCACAGGGCTGGTGGAATGAGATGTTCCAAATAGGGAGTCAAGGTAGGGTCAAACCAGGGCTATAGGCAGAGCTGGGAGGAGCAGGAAGGATTCAGACCAGGAGGAGCCTTGGCATTTTATTTTAGGGAGGGAACTATGTCAGTTCAGGATCCAGAGTGCAGAAAAGGACGTTTTCTTAATTTAGTACCAGATATTTATTCCTTAGCCAATATTTGGTGAGCAAACGTAAAGAGACCCTCATCCTATTATTATCCCCGACATGGAGAAGTGGCCTTCTCAGTGCAGCCTTCTCTGGGACAGCAGCGACTCAGAGGTGCCAAGCTAACGCAGAGAGCCACACCTTGGTACTGGAAAGAACAAAGCAACCAAAGTCCTCAGTGGCTGTCATCAGCAGCTGTTCCTGTGTGACCCTGGCCTCTCTGGCCTCAGCCCTCAAATAAGTCCCTCAGAACTGGTGTTCTCTAGACATTAGAAGCTTAAAATGCAGAATAGTTCTGAGTAGGTATGGTTCTAGCTGTGGACCTGGACTTGCATTTCCCTCTTTGGCCTCAAGGCCATGAGGCAATAGTGGTGACCTCTGCCCCGTGGGGACATTGATGGGGTGGTGAGCAGTGCCCCTGGCTGGTTCCCAGCAGATGTTAAATTCAATAGTTATCCTAGAGGTCACATTTGCTCTTCCCAACCCGGGGTCTCCAGGGTCTTGCAGACAGCCTGGCCTGTCACCCAGCTGCATGATTATTGCAGAAAGGATAAACTGAGGAAAGAGCAGTGCATGTCAGAGTTGGGGGAGGGTTTGGAGCTTAGAGTCCTGGTGACCTTTGAGCTGATCTTGCGAACACTGAGGCTCAGACCAGAGAAGAGCCAGCAACGAGGACAAAATGTGACCTTGCACAGAAAAATCTCTGTTAAAGTGGAAGTTCTGGGCAAAGACCCACGAGGAAGTATTACTTTCAGCATCCTAAGATGCCCTGTTGATAGCTGTCCTCTCCGCTCTAGATACCCACTCAGCATTTTTTTTTTTTTAAATATGAGAAAAGAGCTCACTATGAAGCTTGAGCAGCCTGAAACTCACTATGTACCCCAGGATGACCTCAAAGTGTGGCAATCCACCTGCCTCTGTCTTTTAGGTGCTAGGATGCTAGGTATGAGCCACAAAGCTTGGCTCTCTGTCTCCTTCATGTTCTCTGCTCGTTTTCACTTTAGGGGACCCTGTTCACACCCCATGCCCTGAAATGTTACCTTTTCTCCCACGCCACTTCCTCTAGCCTTTTGTTAGTTCCTTCCAGCTCTCAGTGTTCTTCCCCTACCCAGGGATCCAAAGGCTTCCTCTCCCTGTTTCCTAAGCAATCCTAGGTAGAATTGCTATACTCACTCCACCCTATAATTTCCAGGATATGTCTGCTTCATGCTTCTCCAGGTCTTGGCATCTCAGAGAGGAAACTGGCATGCTACGTTTTCTGTCTGTTTCTCTCCTCTCCAAGGAGCCTCCTGGAGAGAAGGCTGAATGCCCTGAGGGGCTGGGTACTGAGTAGGTAGTATTACAGATTTGTTTCATGAACCTTTGGATGGATGAATTAGTGGATGGATGGATGGATGGATGGATGGATGTGTGGATGGATGGATGTGTGGATGGATGGATGAGTGGATGGATGGATGGATGGATGTGTGGATGG